GATAGCTTTCAGTTGATCAGCAGCCTAGCCAGGTTCTCTAGCCAGGGTCTCCAGCCAGGTTCTGTCCAGGATCTCCAGCCAAGTTCTGTGTAGGTTCTCTTGCCATGTTCTCTCGCTAGGTTCTCCAGCCAGGTTCTGTCTTGTTACAGCTGTATTTATACCAGTTGATTTTAATCCTGTCAATTTCTATTCCAAAGGTTAGGGCGTTTCTTATCTCCATTCCAGGGAGTAAAGATTGTGTAGCTTAAGGGTGATTGTTCATAGTTAAAGTGATTACCCCCCTCGCATTTAGTTAAGGAGTTTTTTTCCCTCCCTAACTTCAGGGAAAAATCCCTACCTGGGGAAACAACCTTTCTCGGAGAGGTGACCTTGGTTAGAACACATAGCGCCAAGAAGGTGAGCAAACATATTAAGAACAGTATGCCATAGACGCCAGGTCCCTTGAAACATATGCTGTGCAGATGTTTCTTCCCTGCAGCGACTTTGTCAAGCAGCAAGGATGGACCGGCTTCCGGCAAACCAGGAGGTCCCAGTTCGATTCCTGGTCAGGGCACATGCCCGGGTTGTGGGCTCCATCCCCAGTGGGGGGCCTGCAGGAGGCAGCCGATCAGTGATTCTCTCTCATCGTTGATGTTTTGTTCTCCCTCTCCCTCTCCCTTCCTCTCTGAAATCAATACAAATATTTTTTTAAAAATATATTTTATTGATTTTTTACAGAGAGGAAGGGAGAGGGATAGAAAGTTAGAAACACCGATGAGAGAGGAACATCAATCAGCTGCCTCCTGCACACCTCCTACTGGGGATGTGCCCGCAACCAAAGTCCATGCCCTTGACCGGAATCGAACCCGGGACCTTTCAGTCCGCAGGCCGACGCTCTATCCACTGAGCCAAACCAGTCAGGGCGATACAAATATATTTTTTTAAAAAACACACATTCAGTAGGGACACTGCCCGACACTGGAGCTGTGGATTGTGGTAGCTCAGTGCCTCTCCTCAGCCCTCCTTTTACGTGACTTGGACTGAGCTGGGAGGGAGCAGCCGTCTGTTTTCCGGGAGGTTTGAGAGCACGGCTGTCCCGCGGGAGGCTGGAGTGGGGCCTCCCTCCTGGGGGAGCCGGGTGATGCCTGGACAGTGTGTCTGTGTCAGGCCAGGTGGCTCATGGGCACGTGCCCGCCACAGTCACGACAGCGCCCCGGACGCCCGGCTCCACGTCGGTTGCTGGCCATTGAGTGAATAAAATAAATACTCGGTAGATAATTAACCAGTTGTTGCCATTTGGAAGTTCAATTCAGAAAAGGTTGCCGAGGAAGGGCACCATTAGCTCTCGAGCAGTCACTGTAGTAAAACGTCTTTGTAAATAAGTCGTGAGCATCTCAGTCAGGTTATGTTTGCACGATCCCTGTAGCCTCTCCTCCGCCTCCCGGCTGCAGGGGCGAAGGGAGAATAATGCTCATTTCTGGCAGCTTCCTGCCCAGCTGCCAGGGCCCCGGTGAGTGTCCCCAGGGACCAACAGGGCAGCAGCCGAGCCTCCGAGGCCGCAGGCGGAGAGGTGCTGACCTCGGGCCCCTCGCTGACCCGCCCCGTTGGCTTCTGCAGGGCAGCGCATCGTGAACCGGCTGCGAGCTTCCTTGTTCTCCTCCGTCCTGAGGCAGGAGGTGGCTTTCTTTGACAAGACCCGCACGGGCGAGCTGATCAACCGCCTCTCGTCGGACACGGCGCTCCTGGGCCGCTCGGTGACCGAAAACCTCTCGGACGGGCTCCGGGCCGGGGCCCAGGCCTCGGTCGGGATCGGCATGATGGTACGTCGGCCCCGCCTGCGTCGGCACCTTCTGGTCAGGGCTGGGCCTGCGCCAGGCCTCTCGTGTCCGGGAGGAGCTCGGGGTGAGCTGCTCTCTTCGCTCTGTAGCCACTGGCCAGAGCGCCACCTGCTTCCCGCATGGCCTCTTGCACTGCATGTCCCAGGGCGCAGTCCTCTCTGGAGGCAGGACCGCTGCTTTAGAAAAGGTGGCGTGTGGCCTGGGCTTTCTGAGGATGCTCGAAGGCAGCAGGGGGAAGGAAGCTTCTGGCGCTGAGCAGTGGGTCCGAGGGAAGACAGGAAGTCACACCCGCCACCACAGGCAGGGCCACCCCTGCCCAAGGGACCCCTTCCTCTCCTCCTCGCCTGGGAGGGAAGATCAGTCCCCCTCCTTCCAGGCGCCTCTCGCCACTCCCACGCCTTTGTGTTGTCCTGAGTCCATGGTCGGCAAACTGCAGCTCACGAGCCACATGCGGCTCTTTGGCCCCTGGAGTGTGGCTCTTCCACGAAATACCACGTGCGGGCGCACGTACAGTGCGATTGACACTTCGTGGCCCATGCCCAGAAGTCGGTTTCCGGCCTGGGCGAGTCTATTTTGAAGAAGTACTGTGGATATTTGGCTCTGGTGACTAATGAGTTTGCCGACCACTGTCCTAAGTGAATGAGTGAATGAATGAATGAACGAATGATTGGTTCTGTCCATTACTTTACACTGCAGTCTGCTGCTTTTTCTCAGCATTTTAGAAGAGCCTTGTTCTGATTATGCTATTTTCTGAGCAAATGAGATTTGCCAGATCTTAATCATTTGTTGAAGGGGTGCCAGTACCGTTTAAGATACGGTCACCAAATTGCAGGGTTGACAGGAAACCCCACCAGGCCACTTCTGGAAGTCGGCTGTTTTGAGCAGGTCCAGCTGTCAGGAGTCGCTCCTCATGCTGAGTTCAGATCCACGTGCTTCCGTCCACTGAGCCAGGGAAGCGCTGTAACTCTCCTGCCCTTGTCGGTTATGTCTCCCGCCAAGTCCCTTCCGTCTGCCCGTCACAGGGCGCGGGGGTGTTCGGTCTCTTTGCCACCTTGGTCGTTTCAGTGGGACCCGTGGCTCAGGTTGTTCAGTGGCCTCGAGGCGGTCCAGACCTGGGCCCAGAATTCCTGCTGTAGTCCCACAGCGTGAGCAGAGCAGGTCTCTCCCTCACTCCCGCCTGCTCCCCTTCTCTGTCGATGAACCCCGTGGTCCAGAGCGGCGGGGGTCAAAGGCTCCCGCCCTGTCTGCAGCAGCTCTTGGTCACGTGACTCCTGTGTGGCATGCTCAGTATTCATGGGTTTTATGAAAAGTTCCACCAATACAGCCTGTCTCTTCATTGAAACACACACACACACACACACACCCCTACAATAGGTCGTGAGAATTTGCTGCTACTCCGTGTAACAAATACCTTCTGGCTTTGTTTCTGACAGTTTTTTGTCTCGCCGCATCTGGCCACTTTCGTTTTGAGTGTGGTGCCTCCAATATCCATCCTTGCCGTGATTTATGGACGGTACCTCCGGAAACTAACCAAGCTCACTCAGGACTCCCTGGCACAAGCCACGCAGGTACAGGCCTTCCTTGGCACGGTCCCCCCTGAGTGAGCTCAGAGCCACCCGCGGGCGGACCCTAGGAAGTGTGCTCAGACTTGGCAAAAACTGCTTACTTTTCCTTAACGTTAGAACTCAAATACTCTGCCTTCTAGACTAGATCACTACCCACGTGTCAGAATAGATCCAACTTAACTGAACATGACCTGGACTTCTTCCTTCTTCCCATCACTATTTCTTGTAGGACAAAAAAGCTAACCATATTTTCCAAACACTTTCTGGGTGCCACTCTGTTCTCCGTTCATTAATAAAGGTAGCTTTGCAATGCTGTCCAGTATTGTCTTCTTAAAAAATTAAAAGTAGTTCTTACATTTTTATATTACAAAAACCATCCATGTTTCTATTTGAAAATATAAAGGGAAAAAATAATAGGCATCAGCCTGCCTCTCAATGAACATTATTAATATCTTGGAGCCTGTCTTTTTATAAGTCTTTTTCTCTGCGTGAAGACATATTTCTGTATCTAGCTGTATACCCTCCAGTTTATCTTTCCATGTACCTCTGTATAAGCTGTGCATCTGCACAGATCGATGTTTCCAAAAATAAGATTGTTCGGGACTCTCCTTTGCAGCCTGTTTTTGACTAAGTCACGTATCCCTGCAACTTCCATTGCTCGTGTCTTAAAAATGAGAGCTGGTTTTCAGTTGTGCCTCCAGAACTCTTGACATGTGACCTTTCCCCCCTCCCCCCGCCCCCCGAAATGTCTTTGTTCTCCCAGCTAGCCGAGGAACGCATCGGAAACATCAGAACCGTTCGAGCTTTCGGGAAAGAGATGACTGAAATCGAGAAATACACCAGCAAAGTGGACTTCGTGATGCAGTTAGCAAGGAAAGAGGCGATCGCTCGGGCGGGCTTCTTCGGAGCAGTAAGTGCATCGTTGCGGATGTTGTCATTGGGAGAGAGTGCTATTCTGTGACTCTGGCCATAGATAGAAAGTGAGTCTATTCTACCTCAGGACTAGGAATTGTCTTCCTTAGAGTGTTTTTGTGAGAGAGGAGGAAACCAATAAATGTAAGGAAGGAAAAGGCAGTGGGCAGGGAGACCAGACACTGTGGGATCAGGCACTGGTTCTCAGCGTCACGTGGGTGCTGCTGAGACAGGCAGACTGTCCGCCCCTTCCAGACCTGTTGAACCGGAAACGCTGCGGTGGGGCCAGCAGTCTGTTTGAACAGGTTCCCCGCGTCTTCTGCTGTTTCCAAAAGCATAACCTCAGTGCACTTCGAGAAGGAAGTGCCCCAGACTGATCATAATGAACTAGATAGGACACTGACCTAGAAGCTCACCAAGAAGGCAGATTTGTAACATGTCAAATCTGGACAGAACTGCACAGGTGACGCACAGTGGCCGGATTCAGCAGGTAAGGAACAGGCCCCGAGGAGGCACGCCCACCCGAGACCCCACATCCGACCGGTCAAGGTGGATCAGAGATCCCGGACTCCAGTCTCCTGGCCCGTCCGTGCCCAGGTGTCACGTTAGGCTATGTAAACACACATGTCAGCTATGTGCTCACTGCCTCCAGTTAGGGGAGGAATCCTTAATATTTTTTTCTTTTGCAAACGGAGCAGATCGAGTAGAATAGGAACCTGAGGGGTGACTCAGCTTCTAGGTTTCCGTGTTGATGAGATTATTTCTTTGGATATCGCAGTGTTTTTAAAGAAATTCAGAGGAAAACATAATAGTTTGGAGAAGCCTTGCTGTGATAGTTAAATGAGGAAGGGGTTACAGGCCGTGGTCTTGCTGTCCGCTGTGTGGGTCTCTGCCTCCCCCCTGACTTCTGCGTTTCTTTCACTCGACAGACCGGGCTCTCTGGGAACCTGATCGTGCTCTCCGTGCTGTACAAAGGCGGGCTGCTGATGGGCAGCGCCCACATGACCGTGGGCGAGCTCTCTTCCTTCCTCATGTACGCTTTCTGGGTTGGATTGAGCATCGGAGGTATATGATCTAACCGGGCGTGGGGAGTTACACGTGGAAAATCCGGTTCTAGTTTCTGAAAGTAAAACTTCACTCTCCTATTGTTCCATCTCTCAGCAAGTAACTGCACCTGAAAAAGCTCTGTCCTAGAATCTTATTCCCACTCGACCATGTTTCATCTTCTGAGGACCCCCATACTGCTTTCCATAGTGGCTGCCCCCCTTCACAACCCCACCACCAGCGCACACAAGTCCCCATCTCTTCACATCCTATCCAGGACTTACTATTGGTTGACTTTTGACAGTAGCCAATCTGACAGGTGTGACGGGATATCACTGTGGTTTTGACTTGCATTTCCCTGATAACACGTGATACTGAGCATCTTTTCATGTCTGTTGGCCATCTGTGCGTCTTCTCTGGAGAAATGTTTATTCAAGTCAGAAAGCCCAGAAATAAACCCACAGTCAGATGGTCAATTAATCTACAGTAAGAGAGACAGGATTATACAAGAGGGAAATGAGTCTCATCAGTAAATGGTGTTGGGAAAACTGGATAGATATATGCAGGAAAAGATAGGAAACTAGACCACTCTCTTACATGATATACAAAAATAAGCTCAAAATATATGAAAGACTTAAATACTGGTACACAGAAGACCTAAAACCAGAAAACTCCCTTTGACATCAGTCTTAGCAGTATTTTTTTGGATATGTCTCCCTGAGCAAAGGAAACAAAAGAAAAAAGAAACAAATGGGACTGCCTCAAATTAAAAACGTTCTGCACAGCGAGGGAAACCACCAATAAAAGGAAAAACAACCTACTGGGTGGGACAGAGGTCACTTTAAGAAGAGATCGTTGGGGTATTTAACATTGCCAGATTCCTGTTCGGTCTGTAGCCCAGTAAAAGTTGAATTTTGAATGCCTAAAAGGGAGGTTTGGTTTTTATAGGTATGAATATTGGGGAACCTTATTTCCCTTCAAGTATAGGCTAAGCATTATATTTTATTTATATTGCTATGTTTCTGGCTCGGCAGATTTTTCTCTGTAGCACTGTGCTTTGCATTCAGTGGTTGATTAGTGCGGCCGTATGTATTTGTAAATTCCCTGACCAACCACTAAATCCTCATTAGAAATCAGGGAAATCAGAGGAGGAGATGCTGAAGGAGAACGAGGGTATGAGACGGAGGGGATTCTGCCCACGGGTTCCCAGGCAGCTGCCTCGGGTCCTTTGAAAGCAGCAGGTTTTACGTTAAAAGCACCTGTCACTTCGCCCAGCGGGAGGGGAGCAGCCGACGGCTGTGGCCGGCACCAGTGACGGATGTAGCGTCTCCCCTCAGGTCTGAGCTCGTTCTACTCGGAGCTGATGAAAGGACTGGGCGCCGGGGGCCGCCTCTGGGAGCTGCTGGAGAGGAAGCCGGGGCTGCCTTTCGACGGTGGGTCTGCAGGGCCTTTGCCCTTTCTCATGGGGGTCACAGGTGTGCTCCCTGCCCTGCCTGCAGGAGGGGCACGAGGGGGGAGGTCAGCAGCGGGGCGGGGGGCCCTGGGATGTCCCTGGAAGCACGGGGCTGACCACAGGCTGTGCCGCCCACCGCCCACCTCCCCGCAGGGGCCCTGTTGCCAGGGGCCAGGGCCCTGCTCGTCCCCCGATCTGTTCTCCTTGGTGGTTGTGATGCGTGTATGGGGGGCAGGAGGAAAGGAAGAGGCATCATACATGTAAAAGCCTCCGCGTGTATTGGTTTTAGGGGATGGCGTGAGGAATGCTGGTGCTGATGGTCTTGGCCAGCTTCTTCCCTGGAGGCCAGTCCTCAGGGCTCAGGAGGAGTGGCCGTGAGCTGTGACCATGCCCAAGCCCTCCTGGGGCCTTGCTGGCGAACGCCCAGTATTGCCCAGTGCCCTCCAGGACTGGGGCGGGGGAAGTAGCCCAGGGGGCACCAGGCAGCATGGACCCTGCCCCCTCTGCTCCGTGGCTGGGGTGTGTCGTCATTCTCTCAGAACACGGGAGCAAGGGAGCGACAGAGGCTGGCTCAGGGCGGCGGGAGCCCCCTCCAGGCCCTGGTCGCTCGGGCAGGTGGTTGGCTGTGAGCACAGTGACCTGCAGGGCCTCTCGGTGCACAGGGCCTGTGCATCGCCTTGGCTGGGGGGCGTGGGGAGCAGCTAAGGGTAGACAGAGGCCTCTTCCTGACTTGCCCGGGTAGCACCCCCAGGGCTGCTGGGGGCGGCATGTTAGTCAGACAGGTGGGAGCTGCGTTCACCTGGGACTGCCCTCCGCACTGAGTGATGACGCTCCGTCTTCCGTTTCAGAGGGGCTGACCTTGAACGAGAAGAGCTTCCAGGGTGCGCTGGAGTTCAAGAACGTGCACTTCACCTACCCGGCTCGCCCCGAGGTGCCCATCTTCCAGGACTTCAGCCTCTCCATCCCCTCGGGGTCCGTCACGGCGCTGGTGGGCCCCAGTGGGTCCGGCAAATCCACGGTGGTTTCCCTCCTGCTGAGGCTGTACGACCCCCTTTCAGGTGAGCGGGTGGGTCCTCACCTCGGAGGGAGGGCGGGGCTGTTCTCGCCCATCTCACGCCTGTGCCCTGCACGAGGGCACCATTGTGCTAAGAGCTGGGGGGAGAATTTATTTCGACTTCAGAATGCTCAGGAGACTTTAAAAAGGCCCAACGGCGTCCGGTTTAATGTAAGATCGTCCCGGGGTGGCGTCTGTCGGTCTCTCCTTTTGTGAGACTTTCAACCTTTCAAAAACGGCGCCTGGAGCCTCCCTGCCCGACCTGGTGTTTACGCCCGTGGCTTTCCTCCCTCCACAGGGACCATCAGTCTGGACGGTCGTGACATCCGCCAGCTGAACCCCGTCTGGCTGAGATCCAAGATCGGGACAGTGAGTCAGGTAGGAGGAAGGGGGTATTTTTATTGTGTTTTTCTTTTAAAGCTGCATTTGTTGCTCGCTTTTTGCTTGGTCTTGAGTCTCCGTGAGAAGGATGGCGGTTTTTCAGATGCACTGAACTGGTCTCACGTGGCAGATTGCGTAGGTTTGTAAACAGTGCCGTTTCTCAGGGCCTCACGCACTTTAACCCGCTGAAGCACTGACTTTTTAAATTTATTTTTTATTTATTCTTAAAATATATTTTCATTGATTTCAGAGAGGAAGGGAGAGGGAGAGAGAGATAGAAACATCCATGATGAGAGGGAATCATTGATCAGCTGCCTCCTGCACGCCCCACACTGGGAACTGAGCCTGCAACCTGGGCACGTGCCCTTGACTGGAATCAAACCCGGAACCCTTCAGTCCGCAGGACGATGCTTTATCCACTGAGCTGAACCAGCTAGAGCTGGTTTGTGTATATTTCAAAAAGCAATGTCCTCGGTGGAAGGCAGGCCGCCGGAAAATGCAGATGGGCTTGTGGTCTCCCAGGGCCTCACGACTCCCAAGAAGGGGGAGCTTGCATTTATGAAGTGCCTACTGTGTGCCGAGCGCCGTGCAGGCATCTGCCATGGGATCTCCCTCCCTGTGGTGGGTGGGAGCTACAGATGATGAGATCAGTCCTGCTGGGCGATGCATGAGGAATGAGGAAGTGGAGCCAGGAAAGCAGCATGTGCTCTTTGGGGGCAGTTTAATGGTCTCTCAGATGTAAGAGCTGCGCTGAGTGAGCCCCATGGTGTTCGCCAGGCGTGTGAAGTCTGTTTTGAACTTTGAGGTCAACATGTTTTATCTCCAATTTGCAGGAACCAATTTTGTTCTCTTGCTCAATTGCTGAGAACATTGCTTACGGGGCAGAGGACCCTTCTGCGGTGACTGCCGCGCAGGTGGAGAAGGTGGCGGAAGTCGCCAACGCAACTGCTTTCATCCGCAGCTTCCCGCAGGGGTTCAGCACTATGGTCGGAGAAAAGGGGGTTCTTCTCTCAGGTGCCTGTTGTTCTGTTTTTAAATGTATTTCTATTGATGTCAGAGAGGAAGAGGGAGGGACAGAGAGAGAGAAACATCAATGAGGAGAGAGAGTCACTGATCCCTGCCTCCTGCACGCCCCACACTGGGATCGAGCCCGCAACCTGGGCATGTGCCCTTGACCAGAATCGAACCTGGGACCCTTCAGTCCGCAGGCCGACGCTCTATCCACTGAGCCAAACTGGCTAGGGCTGTGCCAGGCATTTTCTAAACGCATTACACGTATTATCTCATTTAATCTTAAAAAACCCTATGAAGCAGATCCTATCACTGTTCCCTTTTCACTGGGGCACAAGAGAAGCTGTCCAAGCTGGGAAGTGGCAGAGCGGAGTCTGCACCTGCAGGGGAAGGGCCACAGGGAAACCAGGAGCCCAGGGAACCCCAGGTTCCTGAGCAGAACACGCAGAGGACGGGAGCAGAGAGCATCTGCCTCAGAGCGTCACCCCTGGCCCTTCCTTCCTCATGTTATGCTCCTCTTTCCCCGGCCCAGAGAAGAAACTGGGGAAAAATCAATGGGAAAATATCCTGGGGTGAGGATTAGAAAAGAAAAGAAAAAAGGCCTGGTGCATTGGAACACCTCAGTTAATGTTAGCTAGCATAATATTTGTTACTGTGAATCCTGAGGTTAATGAGGAGGAGGATGTTTTAAAACAGGTTTCCGTTCTGCCATCTGTCTTAGCGAGGGCTGCCTGGGAGAAGCTGCCTTCCAGTTGCCACATGGCTTCTTAGAAAAGCCCGTTACCAGGAATTGGTGTTCAGGCTTTGCATTAAAACACCCCTGTCGTTGCCAGGTGGGCAGAAGCAGCGGATCGCCATCGCCCGGGCGCTGCTGAAGGTGAGCCTGCGGGGCGGTTGTTTAGCTTTTCATAGAGACCTTGTAACTTGTAATTTCCTATTTTCCTTCTCCCTGTTCTTCCCTTTTTCCTTGGAGGGGAGGGAAGATACATGATTGACAGTTCTGGTGAGAGAGGAGTGAGGCCTTCGCTGAGTGCACGCTGTCCAGACTTAACAACTATTTTGGGGCTATGAGGAGGCCAGGCCTGTGCTGGGATTGACAGAGGGAGAAGCAGACAGTGTAACGAATGAAACAGTGATCGTATCAGAATCTAGAACAGGACCAGTGTGCTTGCTGGTAAAATCCGTAATCAGCTGCTAAGCTGAGTAATACAGACTTGAAATACTTGTCCAAGACTTCTGAGAGGAAAGGGAACGCATTTTAGCTGGAAGTCAGACATGGGATGTTTTAGGAAGGGATGGTCTTTCCTCTTTTATTTAACGACTCTCCTCCGATGGATAAGTGATTCAAAAAACTGCTTTATTGAAGCATAACTTACACACCAGGAACTTCCATTTTCAATGTACTTCCAGTGACTTACAGTAAATTTACAGCTACTCAGCCATCACACAATCAAAACAAAACAAATATTTCTTTTTCATGTTAGAGCATTTCTATCCCCCTCAGATAAACCCTTGTACCATGTGTCGCCTTTCCCCGTTCCCAGCCTCGGCCTCAGGCGCAGCTCATCTGCTCGCTGTCTAGACTGGCCTCTCTGGTCTTCTCAGCTCGATGGAATCAGACAAGAGATGGTCGTTAGCCTGTCTCACTAGCTTATGTCTTTGCCTTTCCTCATGTTGTCGCCTCTGTCAGAACTCTCTTCCTCTCTGTGGCTGAGTGGTACCCTCCGTGGGGCTGGCCCACGGGCTGTGATCCGTTCACCACGGATGACATCGGGGCTGTTTCCGGTTCGGGGCCCTTGTGAATAGCGCTGCTGAGAACGATGGGGCGGAGGTTTGGTGGACACGTTTTCCTTTCTTGTGATCAACCCCCGGGCCAAGCTAGGATGGAGCGTGTTAGTGCATCAGCTCCCCTTACGTTTTCGTCTTACGTGCTGCTCCCAGCAGAACAGCAGGCAGGGCCTGGAGGGCCTGGCCTCCGTGGGACTCACTTCAGAGCCGCCTCGCACTGCGGTTGATTGGCAGCAGGAAAAAGTGCCCTGAGAGCAGCACCCAGCCCCTGGGTCACTGTGATACGGTCTCAAGTCGCCTCCAACCCCCCTTCTGTGCTCATCACAGTCACCTACGAGCTGTGGTTCTCTTTCTCTGCAGCAGTTCTGTTGTGATATCATTCACACACTCTACAACTCACCCATGAGAAATGATAATTCAGTGGGTTTTCGTGTATTTAGTGTCGTGTATCCATCCCAGAAGCAATGTTAGGACCTTGTCATCACCCCGGAAAGAGATGCCGTCCGCTGTCGCAGTCACCCACACCCCCTGCCTTGTGGCCCCAGGGACCCCAGCCCCCAGGGACCACGGACCTGCTCTGTCGCTAGGGATGCGCCTACTCTGGACACTCCCTGTAGAGTCACACGACATGTAGCGTTTCGCGTCTGACTCACTCACTGAGCAGAAGGTTTTCAGTGTTCATCATGTTGTATCATGTACGGCACTTCATTTATTTTCATTCTTGGGAGTTTGTGTTTTTCTAATAACAATGTTTTCTTTTTCATGTTTTTCCTTCTTTAGAATCCCAAAATTCTCCTCCTGGATGAAGCCACCAGGTGAGGATATCTCAATGCTAGATGTGATTATATAAAGCGAAGGCTTCCTTTTCCAAAGACTCACCTTCCTGTACTTTACAGTGTTGCCACTGCCAGGGCCCTTTCCCTACTTTATTTATTTATTTTTTAATATATTTTTATTGATTTTTTTCAGAGAGGAAGGGAGAGGGATAGAGAGTTAGAAACATCAATGAGAGAGAAACATCGATCAGCTGCCTCCCGCACACTCCCCACTGGGGATGTGCCTGCAGCCAAGGTACATGCCCTTGACTGGAATCGAACCTGGGACCCCTGAGTCTGCAGGCCGACACTCCATCCACCGAGCCAAACCGGCCAGGGCCCTTTCCCTACTTTAAAATGACCGAGTCTGTCTGAGTGAGTGACAGTCAGGAGGCAGGGCCAGGCTGAGGCTGGAGGGAGGGTTGTAGCTCCAGGTGAGACACGTGTGTGATGAGTCCCCGATCACTCCCAACAGCTTCTACTTATGTGACAAGTTTTGCGGAAATGTAGAGGCCCCGCTTCCCGGTTAATAGCACCGTTATACTATCAAACATGTAAAGTAAACCCAAGAAGTTACCATCTAGAATTCAGCGGTTCTCAACCTTCCTCATGCCGCGACCCTTTCATACAGTTTCTCATGTTGTGGTGACCCCCAATTTCATTGTTACAAATTGAACATAATTAAAGCATAGTGATGAATCACAAAAACAATATGTAATCATGTATGTGTTTTCCGATGGTCTTGGGCGACCCCTGTGAAAGGGTCATTCGACCCCCAAAAGGGTCGAGACCCACAGGTTGAGAACCGCTGATCTAGATCCTAGTGAACATTCACTGCTAGCGCAGGGCCGCTGTGTGTATAAAGCGAATGCATGGGCCGCAGTCTGCCTGCCACTGACTCTTTGCTTTCTCGCTGGTTTCCCACTCAAGTGCGTTGGATGCTGAGAATGAGTATCTGGTGCAAGAAGCTCTGGACCGACTCATGGAAGGAAGGACGGTGCTGATCATCGCCCATCGTCTGTCCACCATCAAGAATGCTGATAGGGTGGCTGTTCTCGACCGAGGAAAAATTATCGAATGTGGGAACCATGACGAGCTGCTTGCCAAACCAGACGGGATATACAGAAAATTGATGAACAAACAAAGCTTCGTGTCGGCATGAAGAAGCAATTGCTGGCCAAGTGAATCCAAGAGACTTTAAAACAAAACAGCACTGCAGGGGGGAAATTCCTTAGAGAGGGTATGGAATCTGTAAATGATACTTCGAGTTCTTTGAAATAGGCCTATTTTTCCCAAAGTATATAAACTATTGTTTTGAGATGAACCTGTTCTCAAAACCTTTACAGTCAGAGTTTTAATAATTATAACTTTCTAAATGTCTATAGCACTGAAGTTATTTTCAGGTTTTATACTTTATTTTATCTTGGAATATTTTCATACAGCATGGCACCTCATTTTTTTTTACCTGCTGTTTGAGATGGAAGTTATTGTCAAATGACAACTTTAAAAGGGAATTATAAATTAAAAGGCCTAATTATTTTAGGCCTGTTTGCCAATCACTGTGTAATTCTCTTGGTAGTATTCTGCCCTCTTTGGGTCGAATGGTACCGGGTTGTGTCATAGAACAGTGGTCGGCAAACTGCGGCTCGCGAGCCACACGCGGCTCTTTGGCCCCTTGAGTGTGGCCACGAAGTTTCAATCGCACTGTACGTGCGTGCCCGCACGTGGTATTTTGTGGAAGAGCCACACTCCAGGGGCCGCAGTTTGCCGACCACTGTCATAGAAGATGAAAACCTAGCCGTTTATTTTATCCTCATGCTCATGAAGTGAGCCTGCGAGTCATACATACAGAGGTAGTGACTGTCTCCTGGCGAGAAGGGAACGTTCACATTCTCCATCCCCTGCGTCTTCAGAGGCGTGAGAGCGCAGGAGGCTGTGTCCCTCTGGGACGAGGCTGTGTGTGGGTGTGTGTGGTCTTTAACGTTTTGGGCACATGAGAACCTGATGAGTTTGAAAAGGGGAAGAGGCAGCCCCATCTTTGCCCAGGAAAACTTCTGTTTTTACTACTCACATATTTCTCTCTGTGAGCCCCCTGGAAAGTGAGGCGTGGGCTGCCAGGCATTATCCAGAAAGATGTAAAAATGAATTTTACATGATGTTGTCTAAGGCTTGTTCTGAAAATTGTACTTTAAAAATGTATCAGCCCTAACCCAAATTTGACGGCCTTTTCTCAGTTACTTAACTACATTTGAAGTGTCATTTAATGAGGCTAAAATCTGAATAATGTAACTGTAATTTTCAACCTTAAAACATTTGAAGAAAGTTTAGACCAGGGGTGGGCAAACTTTTTGACTCGAGGGCCACAATGGGTTCTTAAACTGGACCGGAGGGCCGGAACAAAAGCATGGATGGAGTGTTTGTGTGAACTAATATAAATTCAAAGTAAACATCATTACATAAAAGGGTACGGTCTTTTTTTTTTTTTTTTAGTTTTATTCATTTCAATCGGGCCGGATCCGGCCCGCGGGCCGTAGTTTGCCCACGGCTGGTTTAGACGTTCTTGCTATTCTACAGAATATCAAGAAACCTTAAGAACTTGTCAGTCTTCTGAAAAGAGGACATTAATAACTCTCTTCTATTTATAACTATAGTTTCATTCACCTGAACGCCTCAGCATTCCTAAAGCAGTGCTGACAACCACCAGATTTGCCAAATTTCATGTCAGTGCTGATCACTTGCTCTTGCCTCCAGAAAAAGTGCTTTTTTTCTGCATAGGTGACGCCAGACCTAAGAAGTAACTATGTTGAGATAAGTAAAATGGAAGTTTCCTCCTGAACTAAGTAATTGTTAGTTCCCTGGTTAGACTGGAAGAAGAATCCACTATTTCATGATAAGCAGGGAGACATATAATTCATTCTACATCAGGGAATTCATTCATGAATAAGTGGACTGTGTGCTTTGGATTGGTAAACAGTACACCTGTGACCATCATTTGAACAGACTTCACTTGTCGTCCCTGCACAGTGTGCTGTGATGGACGGTGTGGTTCAGCAGCTACAGAGCTGGGCACGAGGGAAGTCTGTGCCACAGAAGGACTTACAAACCCGAACTTGATCATTATGTGTCATTTTCTAATACAAGATGTTCAGTGTGTCTTTAGGTTACATTTATATCGTGGATTAAAATTTATAGTGAACTTTATCTGTGTCTGTCCCTTCTTTTCTGTTTTTGCTATTTTTATTCAGTTTATTGGGGTGACTGATTAACAGCACTATATACCAGGTAAGTTTCAAGTGTGGACGTCTACAGTACCCTGCAACCAAGTATGTGCCCTTGATCGGTGATTGAACCTGCAACCCCTCTGCTGTGTGAACTAGCGCTCTAACCACTGAGCACACTGGCCAGAGCTTGATGTTATTATTTTCAAAGAACCAGCTCTTGGTTGCATTCATTTTTCGATTGTATTTTTTCTCTATTTTGTTTAATTCTGCTCTGATTTTTATTATTTCCTTCCTTCTACCGACTTTGTTCTTTTTCTAGTTACTCAGGGTGAAATGTTAGGTTGTTTAGTTGAGATTTCTCTTATTCTTGAGGTAAGTCTGTAATGCTGTAAACTTCCTTCTTAGTACCGCTTTTGCTGCCTCTCTCAAATCTTGACGCCACGTGGTCATTCTCATTTACCCCTATTATCTTTCGATCTTCTATTTCTTCTTTGACCCAGTCTTTGTTTAGCACCATGTTGTTTAATCTCCACATATTTGTGGTTCTTTTCCGCTTCTTTTTTGTAGTTGATTTTTCCATTTCAAAGCATTGTGGTTGGAAAATATCCTTGGTATGATCTCAATCTTCTTAGGTATGCGAGCCTACTTTTGTGTGTTGAGAATGTTCCATGTGCACTAGAGAAGAATGTATATCTTCCCTACTGTTCTGGGATGAAACACTTGGTAAATATCGATTATGTGCATTTGGTCTAATGCATCATTTAAGGCTGATATTTCCTTATTTGATTTTCTATTTGGATGATCTGTACATCACTGTCAATGGGGTATTCAGGTTCCCTACTATAAATTTGTTTTTGTCAGTTTCTCCCTTTAGTTCTGTTAGTGATTGCTTTATGTATTTTGGTGCTCTCTGGTGGGGTGCATATATAGTAATAAGTGTTATGTCTTCTTGATGTATTGTGCCCTTTATCACTATGAAATATCCAGCTGTGTCTCTTGTTACCTTTTATATCTGGAAATCTATTTTGTCTGATATAAATACAGTTATACCTGTTTTTCTCTGAATGCCATTTTCCACCCCTTCACTTTGAGTCTGTCTTTGCAGCTAAGATGTGTCTCCTGAAGGCAGTGTATCGTTGTTTTGTTTGCTGATCCATCCCATTACTCCTCTGTGCCTTTTCATTGATGAGTTCAATCCATTTATATATGTTTATATATTTTTTTAATTGATTTTAGAGAGGGAGGAAGAAGGAGAGATAGAAACATCAATGATGAGAATCATGGATCGGCTGCCTCCTGCACGCCCCCTACTGGGGATTGAGCCTGCAACCCAGGCACGTGCCCTTGACTGGAATGGAACCCGGGACCCTTCAGTCCGCAGGCCGACGCTCTATCCACTGAGACACACCAGCCAGGGCATCCCATGTATATTTAGAGTGAATATTGATATATGAAGATTTCCTATAGCCTATAGATTTACCTTTTTTTTTTATTGTTGACACCCTTATAGATGTTCCCATTTCCCCACCCCCACCCTTGGCCTACCTCTGCCAAGCTCCCCCCCCCCCCTTCTCTGTGACCATCAGCCTATGTTGTGTGTGTCTATAGGTCATGCATACGTGCCCTTTGGCTAATCCTTTCACCTTCCGTCCAGTTCCCCGCCCCTCTGCGCTTAACGTCATCATCTCGCGCATTCCCCCCCAGCGCGCGGGGCGGCGCGCGGCGCTTTGACGTCATCACCCAGCGCCCTGCTTCCCAGCCCCGACCACAGCCCGCGGTGGGGCGCTTTGACGTCATCATCCCGCGCCCTCCCCGCCCCGCTGTTCAAGCTCCGCGCGCGCAGCGCAGCCGCCCCACGGCCGGCACCCACGCGCGCTCTGTGGCTTTTCCTTTCCGTCATGTTCCCGGCCGTCTCGTCTCCGCGGACCCCGGGGCCGGGCGCCCGGAGGGGCCCGCCGGGCGGAGTCGGGGCGGGCTCCACGCCGCGGGCGGCCGGCAGGAAGGGCCTGTCCCTGGGGTCCGGGGCCGGCTCCCCCGCGCTCTTCTCCCCGGTCGGCCGGCACAGCTCGCTGAGCTCGCGGTAAGCGGTCGCCCCCGCCTGGGGCTTCCGGGCCTCGGGGGGCTGGTCGGGCCGCGGCCCCAGAGCCTCCGGGGTCGGGAATGTCGGGGAGACGGGCGCCCGCTGCCCGGGCAGGTGCCGGACCGGCGCCGTCCTGGACCGGCCTCCGCTGTCGCGCTCTCCGTGGGGTTAGCTTCGTGTGGAGGGAGGAGGGTGCGTTTGCACCGCCGGTTGCCGCCTCCCTCCCTCCCTGTGACCTGGTGGGAGTTCTCCTGTCGGGGAAGAGACGGGGACGGTGGCACCTGCGCTGAGCCCGCGCCTCCCCCTCCCGCCCGGAGGCTTCTGTACGAAACGCGGATCCGGATGGAAAATGCTGGTGGGATCGAGGCCCCCAGTCATTGTGTGGCACCTGACATGCTCACTGCCCATTGGGATTGTAAAGGGCTTTTAGCTACACACGTTCACCTGCAGCTAAATTAATCGGAGAACGGCTTCCCATAGGCAGGGAGGTGAGAATAGCTTTGCTACCAGGTGAAAGCTTGGCGCGCCGGTCCGCATCGCTGGTCCACACCACGCCCCCTTTCGGAATTAATCTAGGGCTTTAGGAGGAGGCAGCATGTTTCTGAATAGTTTGCTGATCCTTTTTTAAAAATGTATTTTTATTGATTTCAGAGGAAGGGAGAGAAACATCAGTGATAAGAGAGAATCACTGATCGACTGCCTCCTGCACGCACCTACACTGGGGATCGAGCCCACACCCGGGCATGTGCCCTTGACCGGGAACCAAACCCGGGATCCTTCAGCCCGCAGGCCGACGCTCTATCCAATGAGCCAAACCGGCCAGGACAGTTGGATGATCCTTTAAAGAAACATCTTTGTTGTACTACCCTGTTGGTCAGCAAAGCTCTGAGCCAGTCGGTATTTGAGTCTCCTCGCTCAATCTTCATATGATAAGAGATTGAATAACTTTTAAACTGGCGACTCTCCATTATTTTTCTGAATGTTAAAATGAAGGTGAGAATAACCTTTCTCCGGCTGTATCGGCTGTATTGAATGGCAGGTAGCAGCAGATACGTGTGACCCATTTAACTCCTTTTTTTTTTTTTAATATATTTTATTGATTTTTTTCAGAGAGGAAGGGAGAGAGATAGAGAGTTAGAAACATCGATGAGAGAGAAACACCGATCAGCTGCCTCCTGCACATCTCCTACCGAGGATGTGCCCGCAACCCAGGTACATGCCCTTGACCGGAATCGAACCTGGGACCCTTCAGTCCGCAGGCCGACGCTCTATCCACTGAGCCAAACCGGTTTCGGCTTAACTTCTTTTTTGTTGTTAATCCTCAGTGGATATTTTTTTCCATTGCTTTTTCAGGGAGAGTATTCAAAGCTAAGGAGGCAGAGTTATAAAGAGTTTAGGTTAATGGCACGTGCATCCAGTAACTAGAGTATAAAAGTGTAAGGCCAAAGTCTCCTAAATCCCGTCAGTCTTTAATGAAAAATACATTTAATGACACTGAATACATGAGCCAGAGTTGTTTTTCACTGTTCCACTTCATATTTCCTGTTCATCAAAGCTCTCCTCTTCATTGTGGAAATAGATACATAAACATCAGGGTGACGGGCAGTGTAAGTTATGGTGAGGAATGTGGTCTCTCTCCTGCAGGGGAACACCCACCCGAATGTTCCCGCATCACTCCATAACCGAGACCATGAACTACGACGTGAAGACGTTTGGATCGTCTCTCCCCGTGAAAGTCATGGAAGTCCTGACGTTGGCCGAAGGTGGGTGTCAGCTTCCGTGTGCCTCTCGTCGCAGTTCACAGGAAGCCTCGCTCTAACCTGGAGCTGGAAATGGGTGCTTTCTCTGCCAGCCCTCCACCTAATTGGGCGGACAGGGGCAACCTGTTTGCTTTTTCACTGTAACTGAGAAGTATCATAAATTTAGAAGCAGACTTTCATTCCAGCACAGTCAAATCTTTAACGGTTGTGAGTCCTGCAAATGCAAAACTCGGTCCAATTTCAAAAGTTAATTGGGGCCCGGCCGGTGTGGCTCACTGGTCGAGCATCAACCTGTGAACCAGGAGGTCATGGTTCGATTCCCATTTGTGGGTTCGATCCCCAGTGTGAGGCGTGAAGGAGGCAGCTGATCAGTGATTCTCTCTCATCATTGATATTTCTTTCACTCCCTTCCTCTCTAAAATAAATATATATATGTATGTATATATTAAAGGATTTAATCCTAGATCTTCGTGATTTTTGGAATGTTGTTTTTCAAACTATCGGTGGTGACTGAGATCAGTTTAGTGTTTCATAACCAGCATTTTTAAAAAAATGAAATAAAGTAGAATCTAGACCAGCCGTGGGCAAACTACGGCCCGTGGGCCGGATCCGGCCCGTTTGAAATGAATAAAACTAAAAAAAAAAAAAAAAGACCGTACCCTTTTATGTAATGATGTTTACTTTGAATTTATATTAGTTCACACAAACACTCCATCCATGCTTTTGTTCCGGCCCTCCGGTCCAGTTTAAGAACCCATTGTGGCCCTCGAGTCAAAAAGTTTGCCCACCCCTGATCTAGACTATCAGACTGCATTTCATATAATGTTAAGTAAGTTTTGTTTTATTTTATTTACATTGTTTACAAATGCATCATGATGTAAAATGTATTCATACTGTGAAGGACAGAAAAGTTTAAGTACTCCGTTCTAGAAGACGGAATATTTCTCATCAACTTGAACTTGCACATCTTGACTATAATAGTATTACAGAAAGTAAGATATCTGTTTATTAACAAACAAAAATTAACAGATGTTAAACCTAGGCCCAACATATACTTTTTGTCTTCAGGTATATTTCTAAAAGTGGTTATCAGAGTAAAATGGATCTCTTGTTTTGGATATTGATAACTCCTGAATGATA